TTTGAACCCGTCAGCTCAGGTGGCACCAAGCCTCATGGCTGTAATCCTAGCACTCTGGGAGGAAAGGCGGGTGGATTGCCTGAGCTCACAAGTTTGAGACCAAGACCAGCCTCAGCAAGAGCGAGACCCTCGTCTCTAAAAATAGCCAGGAACTGTGGCGGTTGCCTGTTGTCCCAGCTACTTGAGAAGCTGAGGCAAGAGGATCACTTGAACCCAAAAGTCGGAGGTTGCTGTGAGTTGTGACACCATAGCACTCTACCGAGGGCGATACAATGAGACTCTTAAAAAAAAAAAAAAACTTAAATATGCACAAGAGAAGTAGACATAGGAGGCCTGGACACCTGCTCCTCAACCAAGAGATCAGGTGACACTGGGTAAGTCATTTAACCTCTCCACATGCCACACTCTGACCCATTTAAAAAACAAATAGGCCTGGTACTCACACCTATAATCCCAGCACTTTGGGAGGCCAAGATGGGAGGATTGCTTGAACTCAGAAGTTAGAGACCAGCCTAAGCAAGAGACCCCCAATGCTTACTAAAAATAAGAGGTGCGGGGAACAGTGGCTCATACCTGTAATCCTAGCACTCTGGGGGGCTGAGGCAGATCGAGACCAGCCTGAGCAAAATTGAGACCTTGTCTCTATGAAAAGTAGAAAAACTAGCAGAGGCGGCACCTGTGGCTCAAGGAATAGGGTGCTGGTCCCATATACTGGAGGTGGTGGGTTCAAACCCAGCCCTGGCCAAAAACTGCAAAAGAAAAACAAAAGCACCTAGCTGGCTGAGCAGGCTATTGTGGCAGGTACCTATAGTCCAAGCTACTCAGGAGGCTGAGGCAGGAGGATCACCTGAGAGTTTGAGGTTGTTGTGAGCTACGATGGTGCCAGGTCACTCTAACCAGGGCAACAGAGTGAGACTATCTCAAAAAAGAAAAAAAAAAAATCAAATAAACAGAAAACAGTGATAACAGTACTGTCTTCTTAGAGGATGAAATCATAAATGTCAAGCCATTTGCAGTGCCTAGCAGACAGGAAACGCCAGGTGGGTGCTCACTCTTCTCATCGGCGTTCACTATTATTACAGGAGCGGGTAGAAATGGCTTTCTAATCCCCAGTGCCTGAGAAAATGAGCTTGGCCTTGAGCAAGAATCCCGAAGTGCAGGAAGAGATATTTGAGGCAGGGTAACGACCTGAGAAAGGCAGAAGACTGAAGATGTTTACAAGGCTCAGCCCCCTCAGACTAGCACCAAGTGAAATGAGAACCAAATGGCCCATCACAGCTGACACGAATGGAAAAGTTTTATTTTAAAAAGAGCAACTCCTAATTGGCTCCAGAAAAGATAATTCACCATGTGCAAACTCCTTTGGCTCTTTTTAGCTACCCACCCACCCCCTTTCTTTCTCCAACAACAACAACAACAACAACAAAAATAAATAAATAAAAAATAAGAGACTCCAAGAAGATTTCTTCTGAATGCGTATCACCATTTATTGTAGTTTGCGTTAGGAATTGAACAGAGGACATTGTCCGTAGAGGGGGGAAAAAAAGGAAAAGAAAAAAGAATGTTTTTGGAGACTTAGACTTAATTTCTTTAAAACACTTTATGGTTCCAAATCCTTTTTTACCCCAAAGGGAATTTCAAGAATTCAAGTATGTTGAGTAGGGAGCAGTAATACCGAACGTCTTATGCTTGTATGGGTGTGTGTGTCTGTGTGTGTCTGTGTGTGTTTAAACAGACAGACTTCCACATCTCTTGTACCCTTTTGCTTTGGTAAGGCCAAACCCAAAGGACACATCATACAAATGACCCTCTTTCAAACTCACACTCAAGGCTGGAGAACTTTATCTACCCTTATGTGATAACTGTAAAGGTTTCAAACTGTCACGGAGCATTAAAAAAACCAACCCTCATCTTCCCCCCCCCCAAACCCTACATCATGTAAGTCCTGATATACTTAAACCCTCCTTAGGTGCCTAACAGAGGGCTAAATATAAGGAACCGAGCAACAGGATTCACTTCATTTTGTTTAGAATAAAAAAATTTAAAGGGGACATTTCAAAAGAAAAAAAAAAACTGAAATTCAAATTCTGAAAATATCTTGCCTTTTTTATTAATCATGTCATCTAACACCAATTAAAAAAACAAATATGTGAATATGATATAAAAATACGATCCCAGGATTAACACTTTGTAGCAGGCACAGTTATCTCACAGAATATATGTTTTTGGAGGGCTGGGGAAAGGAGTTTATTTTTGTTTTTGCTTCTCTTTAAAAAAATCCACAGCAGTGCAAGTAGGGTCAGGAAGGGAGAAGGGGGTAAAGATTCTTTAGCAGCAAAATGTCCAAAGTTGTCTAATCACAATCAAATCAACGGATATTGGATTTAAAAAAAAAAAAAAAAAGATGAAGGGATGCCACCCAGACCCACTGGCCGCCACTAAAGATTTTCTGCTGCAAAAGCCCCAAATTGTGACATGAGAAGGACGTGCTTTATTACACAAGCAACCATAAAACTTGTCCCTCAAGCTTTTGACCATGTCTGTCACTTAAATATATGTACAGGCATCGGGCTCCTCTTCTCAGTGTGTCCTTTCGGCTCTCCAGCGTTTGGTCGCTCTGGGTGGGCTCGGGGGTAGTTGGCCACGTCTGGCTTCCAACATCTGCACGGCAGGCTCACCACTGCTGCCGCCTCTGTCTGCCTCGCGGGCCTTGGCTGAGTCTGGCAGAGGGTGGGCGAAGGGGACGGCTTAGTGATCGCTGTTCTGTTTCTCTCTCATCCATGCTTGAATTTGTTCTTTCAGTTCTGGCACTGAAGAAAGAAATAGAAAGGGGGATTAATGCCTCAGATGGGAGGGCTGTTCCTGAGACATGATGCTTGTAGTTCTGCACAAATGGGAAGAAAAGGCCATTCAGTCCCTCATCAAGCTGAAGACTGCAGAGGATAGGGGACGTGGAAAGGAGGGAAGGGCAAGGAGTATTTTGCATCTTTTCCATAAAGAATGTCGTAAACGTGATAGTTTTCTGCAGTTAGTAAGCTTCCCTCTTTTGATTAAATTTCTTTTTTTTTTTTTTTTTTGGCTTGGGCTGAGTTTGAACCCGCCACCTTTGGCATATGGGGCCAGCATCCTACCCTTCTGTGCCACAGGCGCCACCCTTGATTAATTTCTGATGCGTGATTTTAGCTCTGCCTCTGGGTGCTGTGCCCTCCCCTACCTGGCTCCAGCATGCTCTCTGTCAGCGTCTGTCGGTTGAAGGGGTCCGTGGGGGAGTTCAGCAAGTGGCGCAGGATGATGGAGCGGTCCATGATGGTGCCGGAGGGCAGCCGCACCGGGTCGGTCATCAGGGTGTCCATCAGAGGGTCTGCGGAGGCAAAGCAGAGCCTAGAACTGAAAAAGGACACAAAACACAGCCCCTCCTACCAGGGAAAAACAAATCCAGAGGAATGGCAATGAAAAAGCCCCTGCCAGACCCCCAAGTTTAGAAGGAAACCGGCCTCAGATAAAGGCAGACCCACTGCCTTTGTAGAGGGGAAAGCACTCTTTTGTCAGCTACCCAGGGAGGAGGGAAGAGAGAAAAAAGACGCTGAGACAGACACTGCAGTGGGCCCCACGGCCTGTGCAGTGAGGACAGTGGGCCCTTTGTCTCAGGACTTCTTGGAATTCTTTGAAAACCGGCATCCTCACCAGCAAAGGCAACCCTGCCCTAAAAATCTTCAGGTTTATTAAATCATTTGAAATCAGGTTAGGGAGGTATTTTTTTTTCCTTTTAATTTACAATATGAGCTAAAAATAGGCAAATGTAATTTAAGATGAAGTGCCTCAAAAAGCAACTAAGGCACACTATTAAAAAGTTAAAAGAACAGGAAATCCTCCTTTAAAGTTATATGTTCAAATTAAATGCAAGAATTCAGCACAAAAGAAAGCAGGGTGGCTTGCCTCTGAACTCGTCTGGAGCGTCACTGTAGTCGATTTCTGCGCGTGCGTTCTTGGCCACTATCTCCTCCACCTTCTCGGCGAGGAGTTTAAACTTCTCTATCGCTATTGTGGATTTGATCCCTGCCTTACGCATCTTTGAAATAACTTCTTCAAACAATTCCTTGCTGTAGGATCTCTGCAAATACGGAAAGGCAACATGAGGCACAAATATATTTTAGGTAGAAAAAGCAAGCTGCAGAAAATATCACGTGTGTAATCCATTTGAGCATTTTTTTCCTCTAAAAAAGCCCTAAAATTATATGTAATTAGATATTATATATATTCCAGTCTTTATGCATTTATAGCCATATGAAAGTATGTACTTTTTGTTCTCATAAATGCATAAAGATGGGAATAAGATGTACCAAAGTATAAGAGGGCGTTACTTCGGGAGGAGGGAGGGGCTGCAGGATTGAGGGGCTGCAGGATTGAGGCAAATGGTGGGGTTTTTTTTTTTTGAGACAGAGTCTATGTCGCCCTCTGTGAAGTGTGGTGACGTCACAGCTCACAGCAACCTCAAACTCTTGGCCTTAAGCGATTCTCTTGCCTCAGACTCCCAAGTAGCTGGGACTCCAGGCACCCGCCACAATGCCTGGCTATTTTTTTGTTGTAGGTGTCATTGTTTAGCAGGCCTAGGCTAGGCTTGAACCCGCCAGCCCCAGTGTACGTGGCCAGCACCCTAACCACTGAGCTATGGGCGCTGAGTCAGGCAAATGGTTTTTTTTGAATTTTTACACCTAGTTCACATTTCTTTTAAAATTTAAACATAAAAAAGAAAAGGAAATCTAGTCTATTCCAGCCCTTGCAGGGCACTGTGCCCTAGCAGCCTACGGGAGGAGGTGGAAAATTCAGCTCTCTTCCACAGAGGTAAACAGGGTAAAAACAAGCCAATATTGTTCATACTCAAAAGGGCTTTCTCCTATTCACTGTCAGTCCTTCCTTCAGATTGCTTAGCTCAGTGAGATCAAATGTCAGAGGCTCCACTGACATTAGAACACGCCATAAGCCCGTGAATGAGCCTACGGCAGACATGATTTATATGTGCTGGACCTGGGGAGGGGTGGGTTAAAGGACCCAGACAAATCTGGACTTGACTTCTGGCTCTATCAACTACCAGCGTGTGGTCTTAGAAAACCCCTAATTTTCCTGAGCCCCTGTGTCCATGGATAGGAAATGGGCACAGTAGTGCCTGCCTCACGGATACATAACTCACACCCTCACTGCTACTACCAAGCATCGGGGTTGTATTTGACATTCATGGCAAAAGTACTTGTTGATGTAGAGACAGTGACACAGTGTAGAGAAGCGGAATGACTGAGACTCTGTGACAGGACTCCCATCTCTAATCAAATTGGGTAACATCAGAATACTCAGACCCTGTTAAGATCCACTGTTCAACAGGCAAGTGTTTCAGGCTTTGTTATGACCCCACCCAGTAAATGTAGAGAGGAGGGGGTCGGTTTTCTCTCCTTCTCTCAGAGGACTCAAGTCTGTAGGAATCAGCAAGGGCGGCACAGGCCAGGGCTGGATGCCAGCTGGTCTGCTGCAGCTGGCCTGTGTTGACCAGGACTCCACAGCACGCCCTTCCCCCAGGGCCACCCCCCTACCCCCCTATCCCCCACCCCCGTGCAAGCAGCAGCAGGGCTCACACTGGCCACTTCTGTGGGGCCAGAGCCCCTGCTTCTCCAGCAGCACCTGGCCTGGTTTCGGGAGCAACTTCACCAGGGGAGCTGGGTGTACATTACTGTTCTCCTTCTGAGCTTTTGCTCTGAACCTTGTGAACCGCCATTTCTATTGACACCAGTATCTCTGGTGTGAATTCATCTCAATGTTTGTACTCTTCTAGAGCACTGGACTGAAACTCCCCAATCTCTCTTTCTTCTTTCCAACTTTAGTTTCTATAGTAAATACGTGTACACGTTTGATTTCTCTCCCCACACCCCCACACCCCTCACCAACCACGCAGGGAGAAGGAGGAGGAAAGGGCAAGGGGGAAGGGCTGGGCGCAGCAAGAACCAAGGCATCGTCAGGGCACTTCAGGGACAGTTTAGCAAAATCACTATATTAATTCTAATTGTTATGAACCAGGTAAGGCAGAGGACAATTGGCCCAAAGATTACAGTAATATGTAGGGAGGGCACAGGGAATTGTTAAAGGTTGGGGTGCACGCTGCTACAGACACTCGGGAGAATCTTTGCCATAAACTCCTCTTTGTAACAAGTAGGTATTTCTTTCTTTTTTTTTTTTTTT